AATTAGATAATATAATGAAAGATTAATTTGATTCATTTAAAGTTACTGATAAATGGTGATTGTCTCTTAATAGGTTCAAGTAAGAATCTATGCAGCGAAAGCATTACGTGCCGCATTGGCAGTTACGTCGCAGAGAGAAGCGAAACAAAAGTCTGAGTGGTACAGGGTATGTCTTATGTATCTTTTTTATTATTATTCATTTCATCTCACATTCAAACATAGCATTTGCATAATAATAACATCGTTCGTTATGCTATCACGAGTGATTTTTGCTGGTAATCTTAATGTATTTTACATGGCATTATTTAGAATTCATCGATTAGGCCATTTTTCCACATAAGTGAACGATTAGTTATAACATTAATGATGAACTCATTTTCTATTCCGACGTGTTTTTAGTTATGAACTGCCCGAACAGATTATATTTACACTGTGCTACACGTACTATTTTTAGTCAGTAGCATTTTCATGCTAGATGCCCTTCCCAACGGAACTGTTTTGCTCAGTTTCTCCTGTCAGGATTTAAGAGTGGCCGGCAATCTGGGATTGTGGTAGTGAATGTGTGAGATAGTAGTAGTAATTGTAATGATAGTGATAGCGATAATGATAATAATAATTACCTGGATTAGCCAGGCTATCAAACGTTTGTAACGNCCCCGTTGGCTAGGCAAGCAGGCCAACCGAACACAACCGAGTTATTAATTAGTTGGCGTGAATATTTTGCATAATTAATCGTAGCCAAATATCAATCCAATAAATAATCATAACTCTAATAAAATAAAAATTCCGCCGATCGCTCACAGCGATTGACAAAACGACCACTCGATATCCAAGTAACAATAATAATAATAATATTAGTAATAGATATTAGTGATAATGATGATATTATTAATGGTAGTGAGTAATTACAGCACTGTTACGAAGAAGCGATAGCGTGTCAGGCCTACGAGGGTTTGAATCGTGATGAGCGTGCGCATGCGATGCTGTTGATTCTGAACGAGTTACTGAGGATTGGGAATGTGAACGCGGAGAAGAGACGAATCAAGTCGTTGAACCAAGAAGCGATTCTCAGCAATCAACGCAACGTTATCGACACGAACGCGATCGATTGGCTCTGCGAGGACATTTACTCGAACACGGTGCACTCGAGAACTGCAAAGTTACTGATCGCTGAGAAATTTGAGAAGGTTCGTTTAGTTGTGTTTATGTTCGCATTATTATGCCAGTATTTTTTATTATTCCATTTGATCTCATTATTATTGAGGTAAGAACATTATTCTATTCATTTATACTCTACTCTGTTCTATTTATTAATATTCTACTTGTTCTATTTACTGAGGTAAGAACATCTATTGAAGAACAGTCTATTCATTGATATTCTATTCATTAATATTCTACTATTATTAATATTCTACTTATTCATGATCATCTTTTTTCTTCATTGATATCCATCGCCCCCTTCTATGATTATTTATTCTATCGTATTTGTTTTAAATAGCGATTGTTTTTGATTTGGGTGATTCATTCGGTTGGAGAGGGCTCTCCAATGGAAGAGCGATTAAGAAGGACAGAGTTTTCGCGAAGGGAATTCATCTCATTTCGTTTCTTCAGCTCATGACTTCAACTAAAGACTTGAAATTTTACGATATTAACAGATAAAATTGCAGATCTACGAGGTGTGTACGCGTTGTATGTCGACCAATCGTACAGTCTCATGCCAAATCATCCTACTAGAGATACTGCCCCGATTGCTGTCATTTCAAAACATACTCGAAGCTGACAACGACAACTACGAGGGTTGTGCCGTCGAGCCGTCATCTGTGTTCACGTACGTCCTCTCGCTGACCAACAAACACCCGCAGTCCCTGGCCACTCTCGGCTTGTTCATCCTGGACAAGCCTCAGCAGTTACGTGCTCGAATCCCACAACTACTCGGTGTTATTCAACAGATGTTACAATCCGCTATTAATAAGTACGTTCGTTCTTTTATTTTTATTTTTTGTTTTTTGGATTGAATCGATTTTTTTTTTGTTATCATTATTGTTATTATTTGTTATTGTTGAATAGCGAAAGTACAATGACATTTTCAGACGAAAAGCATCGGATGAGAATGTGTTCACATGCCTCACGTTGGTTGTACGTGCACTGGATGTGAATATTGAGAATGACATACGTAATCTGCTACCACTGTTATTCGCCACGGGGCTGTCGAAAGGTGTGATTCTCTTGGAGTTTGGGTTTATGTAATTTTATAGTTTACTTTTATTATTTAAAAAAATCATTATCATTCCCGCGAAAGATTTCGGTAAACGACCGAATGAATGCACTTGAAGGTCTGATCGACGTAACATACGAGATAATGGTGTGCATTCCATCGCTGAAGACGGACGTCCAAGATGGATTGTTGAAAGAATTGTGTCAGTTACTGATGAATCGCAAACTACCCAACAAACTCGATCCACCATCGTCCCCGCCAATCCCATCCGGACCCGTTCAAGTGACCAATGTCGCTGTCACAAAACTTGCACTCGCGGCATTAGCTAAATTCGATTTCCAACGACATGCACTTCAGATGTTCATTAAATATATCGCACACGTTAGTATATCTTTATTGTTATTGTTAGTGCTGCTGTTGCATTATGATATATGCTGTAGTTATTTGAAGTTGGAAGTGAATTAGTTATTTGATTTGTTGGTTATTTTGATGTATATTTAATGATATTGCTTGAATTACAATAGTTGAATGATATTTGGAAGTGAATATCTTGTTGGATGAATGTCACTGAAAGGGAATTAATTGTGTTTGGATGGAAATAAGATGAATGATGAGTGGTTATTGAATGAATGAGATAGATGAGTAGTTATTAAATAAGATGAATGAGTAGTTATTTGTAGTGATTATGCAGAATATTATGATAAGTTGATATTATTTATTATGGAATTTATGATATCGTAATTTGATAGTATGATAATATTATGATATCTATCGAGCA